GTTTGAGAGAGGCGGGGCATAGAGGACCTACAATAATGTACAGTATTTGAAAAATAATGTGTTTTTTGAACATTAAAGCGTGTCAACATATTCTGTTACACCAAATACACAAAATAATGATCTTTAAAATAGCATCATATGACCCCTTTAAAGAACCATCTTTTTCTTACCTTCTTATAATCTGAAGAACCTTCTTTCGCCACAAAACCCCTTTTGTGAAACGGAAAGGTTCTTCAGATGTGAAAGGTTCTTTATGGAACCATTTAGACAAAAAAAGGTTCTTCTATGGCATCACTGTGAAGCACCTTTGTTTTTAAGAGTGAAGACAAACACATCAGCTTCAGGACTTAAAATGGCACATTCAAAATGTGTACTGTTGGGGTTCCTTCAGGAACAGGGTTGTTCTAGGCAGTATAGCATTTTGTTTGCTGGATGTTGACTGTGTTTCCAGCAGAGCTGAAGTCAAATTGAGGTCCTCCAGAACCTATAAGAGACCTCTTAAGACCCAGACCAACACCGTTTGGTCCATGTACCATATTAATGAACTCAAACCCGAGTCAGTTTGATGTAGGGGTGTGCAATATTTATCATCTACGATAATATTGTAATTGTTGTTTTAACGATGTGCGAGCTGACATTATCGATGATGTCGCTCAAGTTGAAAAAAAAAAAACACATCTTGAGAGTCCAGAAGCATTGACTGTGTGATGAAGCCTGTTAGAATGCAGTTAAAATGCCCCAATAATTCAAGTTATGAAAGCCAAAAAATATCCCTGCATTGGTTTTGTTTTTGTAAGATATGATATAGTTTAGTAATGTCACGTAAGCAAGAATGCTGCTTTCCTGAATATCAGCCATCTTGAATGTGTGATATTGATTTTATACAACAGTTCAAGTTAATATTGAGTGGATTACGTTGTAGACACAATATTTGTATTTATTTATTTTTGCCAACAAAAGAGCTCCAAACAAAGCTGGAGCTGAACATTTGTGCATCTCAGAGTGACACTTCGTTCCTGAGCGAATCTGATTTTGAATGAATCACTTGAGTCGGTGATTTGAAGCAAATGAGTCATTTGCCTCGTTTCTAAATAAATCAGCCGTTTTGAACAAATCGTTTGAATGGTTGATTCAGTGAATCACTCATTAAGACAAGGATTTGCCACCACCTACTAGTGGTTTTAGTGTCATATTAATTTATCAATGACAGGTCTAAACCAGCCACAGTACTAGCACAAAAACACACTCAGCAAAAAAATATTGCGATATAATTTTTTCGTCAATATCGCACACCCCTGCTTTGATGCTACTGAGGTTGTAGTGCCAGTTTGAAGGCTTAATTATGCATTGTTTTGTTTTTGACAGGTTCTTGACAATTATGAGCGAGACGGTTTCCAGTTCCTGGCCGAGGTCTTCAACTCATCGCATTCGTTCCTGGAGGATCTGACCGGCTTGACTTTACTCCATCAGGAGACTCAGGCGGCTGAGGTTAGACTCTTCATCACCCTGTGTGTGCTCATATTCACATTCAGACCTGAGCCAGAGGTTATTGTCCCATCACTTTGACAAATGCCGTGTGCATTCATTATTAAATGATCAGATCCATTTACACGTGTACACGCTGAAATATACAGTGCACAGATGGTTATAGATGAAAGAGCCTTTAAGTCCTGTAACCGCTAGTCCACACAAGGTTCAGGATCAGACTGATTGTTTGGAGATGAGTGAATGATGAATGATCTGTTCACTAGCAGCTCAGACTAGAAAGCTTATGGCACATTGAAGAAATCTGATCAGGCTGATGCTTTTAAAAAGAAAAAGAGGATCTCCATTGAAGCATTCAGTTTCTGTCGGCCTGACATATGGTGCGCACACACACACACTCTCTCTCACACACACACACACACACACACACACACTCACTCTCTCTCTCACACACACACAGGAGAGTGAACGGCCTGTCAGAAATCATAGCACGTCAGCTGTGTGTGTGCGAGCGAGCGTGCGTGCTTGCGTGCGCGTGCGTGCGAGTGTGTGCGCATGTGTGTGAGTGAGTGAGTGAGTGTGAGTGTGTGTGTGTGAGTGTGTGTGTGTGTGT